GACAGAGTGAGTGGTGTCTCTCACTTTTCGCACGCAGGCATGCGCCCAGCCCCACTCCCTTAACATCTCTCCACGGACGCGCACCCAGTTTCCACCCCACGCCCGCCGAGGTGATCTGCTGCAGGCTGCTCCCAGCAGACGTGTCCGGGCTGCCGGAGAAGGGGTGTGTGTTCCCCAGAGATTTCTTTGCTTCCACATTTTTCGTGTGGGGGAGCCAAGAAATCTGCAGAAGGTATGCGCAAAAAGAAAAGGAGTACTTGTGGCACCTTAGAGACTAACCAATTTATTTGAGCATGAGCTTTCGTGAGCTACAGCTCACTTCATCGGATGCATACCGTGGAAACTGCAGCAGACTTTATATACACACAGATCATAAAACAATACCTCCTCCCACCCCACTGTCCTGCTGGTAATAGCTTATCTAAAGTGATCATCAAGTTGGGCCATTTCCAGCACAAATCCAGGTCTTCTCACCCTCCACCCCCCCACACACAAACTCACTCTCCTGCTGGTAATAGCCCATCCAAAGTGACAACTCTCTACACAATGTGCATGATAATCAAGGTGGGCCATTTCCTGCACAAATCCAGGTTCTCTCACCCCCTCACCCTCTCTAAGGTGTCACAAGTACTCCTTTTCTTTTTGTGAATACAGACTAACACAGCTGTTACTCTGAAACCTGCAGAAGGTATGGATTCTGTGGCCCCCCCCCCCCCGCAGAATTCCCCCAGAAGTATTGTAATGCTGAGTAATCAGATACTACTGACAGCACTGTCTGCACAGTCCTGTTCTTAGAAAAATCCAAACCTTGGTACTATTCTGTTTAACTCCCCTCACAGTTTATAGATTTAGAAAACTGTAGCTTACCTACAAAAAATATCAGGTGATTCTCTCTTGACCATCTGACTAAAAAGTGAGCTGCTGTTTTGGTCTGTTTAATTGGATGAGAGAACCAAACAGCTGCTTTCAAAAACTTTACTCAGCCACAGTTATCTGGGCATGTAATTGTTCATTTTTCATTGTCAACCTTGTAAAAGATAGGGGGAAAGATTTTGTGGCTGACCTGGTAAGTTTTTGTGATCATTTTGCAAAGCTGTTATACACTGCAATATAAAAAAGGAAGGTTAAAATCCAGAATTGCTACTATTTTCATGCTACTGAAGGTCTTGCTACTTTTTCTTGAGTTCCCTGATATTAAATGAAGGATTAAGGTAGCCACGTCTCTGGATGGATGGTTGTAGTTGGTTGTCATGTCCAAACTTGTGTTCTAGAGTTTGAGTTTTATATAAAGAACTGGGAATGCCATACCAGATTGTAAAAAGAAAAGGAGTACTTGTGGCACATTAGAGACTAACAAATTGATTTGAGCATAAGCTTTCGTGAGCTACAGCTCACTTCATCGGATGCATACAGTGGAAAATATAGTGGGGAGATTTTATATACACAGAGAACATAAAACAATGGGTGTTACCATATGGACTACAACCAGAGTGATCAGGAAAGGTGAGTTATTACTGGCGGGGGAGGGGAACACCTTTCGTAGTGATGATCAAGGTGGGCCATTTCCAGCTGCTGTTCTTGTCAACTGCTGGAAATGGCCCACCTTGATTATCACTACAAAAGGTTTTCACACACGCACGCCAGCCCACCCGCCGCTTTCCTGCTGGTGATAGCTCACCTTTCCTGATCACTCTTGTTATAGTCTGTATGGTAACACCACTGTTTCATGTTCTCTGTATATAAAATCTCCTCACTATATTTTCCACTGTATGCATCTGATGAAGTGAGCTGTAGCTCACGAAAGGTTATGTGCTAATAAATTTGTTAGTCTCTAAGGTGCCACAAGTACTCCTTTTTGCGGATACAGATTAACACGGCTGCTACTCTGACATTTACCAGATTGTTTGTCAATCTCTCTTGATTGGGGGGGGGGGGGAAACGTTTTTTCTCTCTCTACAAGGTACTGCTTTCGACTATCTGGCTGAAGAGTTGGGAGAGCCAGATCCTTAGACTACCTGATATTTGATGGCAGAATATTTTTCAGGTTGCTGGTTCAGCTGCAGAAAGACATCTTGTTGCATGAACCAGAACAGAATAGAAGAAGATAGAGCAGCCTGGCTGTGTTTGCGTGGGGGCATTTTACAAAGTATACTGAAATACGTTCCTTGTCTTACCTCTTGCCTTGTCTGTTCCTCTCAAGTTCTTTGGAGACAGCAGTTCAGGTATAGAAGAGTTTGGAGAGAGGTGAAAACAAGATAGGAAGGGTTCTTGAGGAAAGTGGGACTTCAGGAGGTAAAGAGGCATTTGTTACACACATGATCCTACCAAAGGAGCTGCATGTTAAAAGGTGCAAAATTGAGGGTGGGAGGAGAGGAAGAGTGAACAGGTTGGAATAGAAAAAGTGAAGAGCCCAGTTCAAAAATTCAGCTAGGTGTGGTATTATGTAAAGCCTTGAAATGAGTGTGAAATAATTGAATTTGTGATGGTAAAAGACTAGAAACCATGGATAGTATTTAAGAAGGATATTGGGTGATGTGGTCAGAGAGATTAGAGAGTGTGTGGAATGGACTGGATAGCATATGCCTTACTCACAAGTAAGGGTCTGTAAAGCCTTCTGTGATTTTTACAGTTTGAGCACTGAGTGAAACTGCCGGCTTCACTCAGAATACATATTAATGGATCATATAGGATGAGGAAGTGTTACAATCAGATGTTCTGCATTGGCACCTCATTCCTGATCTCCGACTTGTTCTTTCCTTTTCACAGAACTAAGATTTATTTACAGGACTGAGGCTTCTTAAACTGGCCTAGGTTCAAAGACTGCCCAGATGATAGCTCATGCTCTGACTCCAATGAAAAATGTTCCACAATCTTTCTTTTATTAAGAATATTTTTACTGGCACAGTCTCTCCCTTATGCCTTATGAAGCATGATGACAACACAGACTTCCTTATTCAGTGCACATATTAAGTCATATAACATGAGGCAGGACTTCTATAGAGTGCTGACTCATTCCATCAGCACCTTCACAAATCATCCTGCATGCGCACCTGTACATTAGAATTGAACGTGATCCAATGTACACATACACAGAGTAAGGCTCCGTGATTTGTTTTTCGTCCTTATGACATGGTCAAGTCAAACCTGATTTTTTTCCACTGCACCACCAAATATACCCACACGGGGTTAATGTCCCTGTCAAATCTCAAGCTTCTGCCTCCAGCTTAAGTGCAAGAGAAGCTTTTAACCAAGGCCTGGTCTACACTACGGGGCTAAGTCAACCTAAGTTATGCAACTCCAGCTACATGACTAGTTTAGATCGACCTACTGCGGTGTTTACACCGCATTGGGTCGACAGGAGAAACTCTCCCATTGACTTACCTTACGCATCTCATTCCGGTGGAATACTGGAGTCGACGGGAGAGTGATCTGTGGTCGATTTAGCAGATCTTCACTAAACCTGCTAAATCAACCCTGGTGGATCAATCGCTGCAGCATTGATCCCCAGTAAGTGTAGCATTACCCCTAAGTCACACTTCTGTTTTTCTTCCTCTTCACATGGAAGAAGTGTACCTTCTCCAAAACTGATGCACTGTGTATGCTCAAGCTTTCAGAAATGTGTGCCCTTGGACTGAACACAGAAAATTTCAGCTTGAGAAGTTAGTTTTTGAGAAAGTTAGAAACTAAGACACTGTATAATGGAAATTCTTGTGGCCCTTAACTACAGACATCACCATACAGTAGGCATGTAACTGGGAATGTAGGTCCCAATTCAGCAAAGCAGTTAAGCACATGCTGTAAATTAAACACATGAATAATCCCAATTCTATTCAGCAAAACACTGACGTGTGATTAAAATTAAGTGCTTTGTTGAATACAGACCATAATGAGCTACTGGTGATTTTGTTGTCTTAAAATACTTGTCCCTCAAAAATCTCTTTCCCATTGATTTGATCTCAACATGGCATATATCACTTGAGAGCTCATTATCTGAAAAATATCAAAGTAGCCTTAGACAGGTTTCAGAGTAACAGCCGTGTTAGTCTGTATTCGCAAAAAGAAAAGGAGTACTTGTGGCACCGTAGAGACTAACCAATTATTTGAGCATGAGCTTTCGTGAGCTGCAGCTCACTTCATCGGTTTCTTGTTTCTTAGTTTCTTTCCGAATAGGCTAGCTGGGGACCAAAAAGATTTTTTTTTTTTTTTAAATCAGGGAGGTTTATTTTACATAGTTCATATTGGTAAGATTCCTTTAAAAATATTGTCAATGGTAAGTGATGTTCAAAAAGGGGAATTTTCTTTCTCAGAAACCAGCTGGAATTTTACTTTCATTCTGAACAGAGAAAACAATTGTCATACTGGTACTGAGGAGGAGGGTGAAAAATGCAACTAGCCGTAGCCACTGCAATGTGACTTAGAAATATGTCCCTCAGTTTTTATAAAAAGATATCACTCAACTTTGTATTCTTCTTACCTTTTAGTATGAACTGGCAAACAGTGACCATAATTACATAATTTATTGATTGTATCCAATCATAACACAGTCCATCAATTATCCCAGTGTTCAGGATATAAAATATGTTGTTTATTGTTCTGGTTTTGCTTCAGGAAAATACAGACTTTTAAACTCTCCTGTGACATGCATTTGAATTGACTTTGGTTGCGCATTAATTGGTGTTGATTGTAGTGACTGGAGAATCTACATTGGTAATTTAGAAGTACAACTGTAATATTTGGTTAGTTACTTTATGGATGGGGAAATGGACAGACTGAAATATAGTCATTTCTGCTTTGCACAGGTTCAAATAAAGGTTTTTTTTCCCCCTTCCACTGAGTGCTGAGGTGACTTTTATTAGTGTGTCAAACTCATTGCAGTTTTTGGATTGTCTTGAACAAATACAAGATTTTTATGTGAGCAGGCAAAAAAAATGATATTGTTTAACACATAACTTTCAAAATGTGATTTACATTGTTGAAAATGAATAGTAGGCATTGCTGACTTGGTTTATTAAATACTGCAGTTTTATTCCCTATTGTATTAAAAGTTTAACAAAGTTTAGTTTGTAGTACTAAGCTTATTTTGTGGTTAGGAATCTAATTTTTGCATTGAAATGACAGTAACTATTTAATCAAATATCAACTCTTTTGCAAACTGATCTAGTTAATTGATTTAAAAACTTCAAACAATTTTCGCTCTGTCTTCTTCACATCATTTGTTAATTCCCCAAAAGTATCAAAAAACTCTTCCATTTCCTTCTGGAGCATTTCATTTCTTCTTACTGCATCTTCCCGTGCCCTCTCTGCATTTCGCATTTTAATCTCCACCAGACTGTACCACTTTCGTTGCTGACACAGTTTTGAATGCAGATCCTTAATCTCTGACTGCAGCTCTTTGTTCCGCTGCTCCAGGCTGTTTGAAAGATAGACATTGCAATTTATAGGGCTCTTTTTCCTGTCTCTGTTTCATGAGAAACCTAAATTTTTAAAAACCATTTGATTTTAAGCATGTGATACTATAAATAGAAGTGTGTGGAGAGGCACTTGGTATCCCCAAAGCAAGCTATGTTAGGTCCCCCTTCAACACGTTGCTGATGCATTTCTTTCCCATCATCTTCATGATTTGTTCAGTTTCTGCAGCTCAGTGAGTTAATGTACCAAACCTGCTCACAAAGTTGTCCTTTCTTTTCAAAGGTAAATACAATTCTCCATTTTATACTCATGCTAGTATACCTTGTATTGTAGTGTAAAAAGCAGTTGTGTACATTTCTGCACAAGCACCCAGATGCTTTGACTTAGGTTGTGTGCAATTTCTCTAATATTAAATTATGGAAGGGAGGGCTATAAGTCCTGTGTATAATCTTCACTTAGAACCTATATGCTGACCCACTCCCACAAACGAATAGTTGGATTTTACATCAGATTTCAGTGGAATCTCACAAGTGTTCAGGATCCTTGCACACACTCTGTATCTAATGCTAAAAAAATTAACAGCTATCAAAATTTGCTTTTCCATACTCTTGATTATTTAACTGTATTATTGTTGCTTTAACTTGCATGCAATATAGATAGAATCATAGAAGATTAGGGTTGGAAGAGACCTCAGGAGGTCATCTAATCTAACCCCCTCCTCAAAGCAGGACCAACCCCAACTAAATCGTCCCAGCCAGGGCTTTGTCAAGCCAGGCCTTAAAAACCTCTAAGGATGGAGATTCCACCACCTCCCTAGGTAACCCATTCCAGTGCTTCACCACCCTCCTAGTGAAATAGTGTTTCCTAATATCCAACCTAGACCTCCCCCACTGCAACTTGAGACCATTGCTCCCTCTTCTGTCATCTGCCACCCCTAAGAACAGCCAAGCTCCATGCTCTTTGGAACCCCCCTTCAGGTAGCTGAAGGCTGCTATGAAATCCCCCCCTCAGTCTTCTCTTCTGCAGAGTAAACAAGCCCATTTCCGTCAGCCTCTCCTTGTAAGATTGATGGGAACCATCTCACACACATGCAATAGGCCTCTGCAGTGGAACACTACACCTGTTCAACAGCAAACAGCCAGACAACTATTTTTAGGAAAGAAACTGAATGAGAATACCAAATTGAAACTGCAAGGGAGAATTGAGGCAGAATGTAATAAGGATGGAACTAAAAAAGGAACAGCTCCTTTATTTTCCCACCAATCCCTTATTTAATCTTTACATTACTCAACAGAAAGGTTGATGTATCCAAGACCTGTGACATTTTTGTCTCACTTGCATCATTTACTTTCCTTTTTATTGTAAGGCTAGACCTGCATAATGTATGGCAAAGCAGTTTTTTGTTGTTAATTGCTTTTAGTTACATTCATCTGAAATGCTGAGGCTGCAGTGCTGGGCAAAAAATATTTTGTATTCGTTTACTCCCAGGGGAGGCTTAATCTTCTAGTGTTTGCAGGCAATACATTTATTAAGCAGGAATCATTAACCCCTTTGAAAGTGGGACTATCCTATGAAACTAGGAAACTTCCAACAAATCTTCAATATCGGGCAGATTGCACTTCCTCTCCTTTATTTTGAGGGCAAATTAAATATCCCCATTTGAAAGTCACTAAAATAATTATTTCAAGGTATATCACACTTTAACTAAATATTCTATTTGGATAATTTATCTGAAATTTTATAGCTAACTAATTAGTGATTACATCTGTTTAGAAGATATGGGCATTTTTTGTATAATAAACAGGTGGTATTGTTCAGCTGACTGAGCACAGACTTAGGAGCTGCTGCATTCTTGTTCTAGGTCTACCTTTGGCTCACTAAGCAGCGTAAGGTAGGTTACTTTCCCTATTCAATTTCCTGATACGAAAAATGAGGATAGTACTTGCCCACCTCCCCACTGAGCTGTTGCAAAGAATTTTTCTTTAAAGTTTGTAAAGCGCTGTGTCAGTGCTTAGTATTAGTATTGTTTATATCCTGGCTTATTTCCCCCCAACCCCGAACTGACTGCCCAAAGTACTGCTCTTCATGCTGACTGAAAGGGGGGAGGGGAATTCCACAGTTGACTTCAGATTTTTTTTTTTAAAAAATCTTCTAGTTCTCCAAGAAATTTTAAATGCTTTGACATTTTCCAACCAGCTCAAATGATACTAGCTTCTGTTAGTTTTAAATAAATGACATTCGCCTAAACCCTGTAACATGAGTCAAAACTGGTCTCTTGTAAATACTGGACAGTGAGAAACATTCACTTTGAAATGTGAAAAAACATTATTTCTATTGCAATAGTGTCCAAGGACCTCAGTTGGGGATCTCTGCGTCACAGCAGTAGGCACAGTACACACAACACAAAGTCCCTGCCCCAGAAAGCTCATAGTCTAAGATTCCTTACCTTGTAATTTTAGCTTCATACTCTGCCTTCTGCCTGGACATCTGCTTCTTTAGGCTGACAAGATAGTGCTGCACTGAAGTTGAATTTGCTGAGAAGTCATTGGCAGTAGGAGATCCTTCACTGCTCTTGTCCCCTGGGCCATGTCCCAAGTTTTCCTGTAGCCCCAAAACATTGGAAGTGGCTGTGTTAGTTTCTTGGGACTCTTCTGGGCAGGTAGACCTGATTAAATATCTTGAAGTCGGGTTTTCTTCAAACATAATTTCACATAGGGAGCTAGTCCTGGATCCCTGACCAGTATTGCTCCTACTGGCTTTGCAAAAGAGTCCGTTCTGTTTTGTTACAGAAGAGGTTGTTTTCATGCATTTGCCTCACCCTGGACTGTGAAACTTTTCTTCCTTACCACAGCTGTTTGAAGCTTTTCAAATACTTGGAAATTGTCCATTTTGTTGGAGCCTGGATCTTGTTTCAGTCTCTGATTTTGTTTTTGATATGGAATGGGTGACGCCTCAAGTTGGTTTGCCAGTTCACTGTGCGCATGGTCTCATTGTGCTGGCTTGTTCTTATCCCCAGGAGACACCACCTCTTTTGTGTACCCTCCATCTTTTCTGTGTAGTTTGAATGACATCTGTGGGTGGCACATTTCATAGCTGTCTGAATTACTAGTTGCATTCTTCTCTGATAAATTTTCTGCCGGGGTAATCTTGGCTGTCAGTAACCTGGGGCAGAAGAGGATAGCTGGTCTGTATTCTACAAATACAAGGCTCCCTATGTTCCATATTGCACAGATTATGGAAGAGGCATGTTAAATCTGTTTTGGGTGCACTGTGTCTAGCCAGCCTGGCGTGAGAAAAATTGCATGAATGGAAAACGGCTTGCTGAGCTTTTTTATCACTGACATCAACTGTTGCACATTTTAAAGGAAGCAGAGGGTAATGGTTAAAGTAAAGCTATTCAGTCTCTCTTCAGCGCTGTTGTATCAAGGACAAGAACTCTGAGGTCAAGGAAGCTTAGGGCTCTTTTTATCTACTTACTAAAAATTAACGAACGAATACATTTTAAATAGACATTTATTTTTTTAACTGCTTCTTTTCAGAGGATACTCAAGTAAGTAAAGTACAGTTTCATTTTCCAGATGACCAGAAATCACTCAAGTACAGCAAACTAAATAGGTTGGGGGGGGAGCTTGAAATTACAGTTAAAATACATTTAACTTTAAAACTAAAGCAATTTAATAGTAATTTGGAGATCCTTTTCCCTCAGTCATTTGGTACAAGGAACAAGGTGAGGTTTGAATAGTGGGCAAGATTACCAATACAAATAAACTATAGGAAACCTTAGCTGGCCCAGCTACCACATTACTTATTTTTTGTATGTTTTCTTCCAGGGTTTTCACATATCCATGCAGAGTCCCTCTTTCTGATGTTCTTTTCTGTTCACCTGACTCGGAGTTTGTATTTAAAAAAACAAACAAAAAACCCTCTGAAACTGATGCACACAAAATAAAGGCTACTCCTCATATGCTTTAAAAGTATCTCTTGAGCCTGGTGCTTTCATGAGCCATTTTCTAAGAGTGGTAGGCTGCTATATTATCCGTTTATTTTAAAAGGCTGTGTTATGAATTTGCTATATCCTAGATGTGCATGTGTTAGATTAAAAATGGTGGATTGGTCCCACAGGAAGATGCAAAATTGAAAGTTGGTACCTTTGCTACACAAAAACTGGTCATCACCTTTCGGTTAGACTCCCTAGTCTACTGGGAAATTTTGATAGCTTGAGTGAAACTGCCAAATGTTTATAACCCTTTGTAGAGGGAGCTCAGCATCCTTTGTGGAATTTTTCTTTCCTCAGACCTGTAAAGCCTGCTGGACAAGGCTCATACAGCATTTAGTCAGATGGGAATACTGTTTTAATTGATTTGGGCTGGCTTAGTGGCCACCACCAAGGCAGACTTCAGCATCCACTAGCTGTTCTTTTACATGAGTTTTAAGGTATCTCTCTCCTCTCAAATGAATAACCCACTATTATTCATTCCACTGTGCCCAGAGCTCTGCTAGGTGCCTTGCAGACCATAGAAAGTAAATGGGACTTGTGAAATTTTTACTCTAAGCCTCCTCGGTAGAAAACAGCCCTTAAACTTGAACAAGCAGATTGAATATTCAGTAACTCTGAAGAAGACTTGAGATTATTATCGAAAGAAGAATCAAGAGAGATAAGAACTACACACATATTAAGGGCAAGAAAACTGCTGACTGAAGGAGTGGGATCCACAGATTCTGTTTTGCAGAAATAAAGTACTGGGTAGATAAAAATCAAGAAAGGCAGTTGCTACCGAGCAAAAGCCCTTAATACTCCAGAGATGTTTTTTTCTTGGAATAATGTCATTGCTTTACACCAATTTTATGTTTCATAAATAACAGATGGCTGAAGTCTCTGAAGAATTAGATTCTCTATCTTTTACAATAAATTACTTTGACAAAAAAAGCGGGGGGGAGGGCGTGTGTGGGAGAAAGAGGCAGACAACTGTGAAGAGCACCAGCTGCTACTTACACAAATGTGAAAGACCTTCTTCCTCTTTTCATTCAAATGTAGAATTTCTTGTCAAACATTCTTTTAACAGGAGCCTTGGCAAAACTGAAACATTCTCCGTATCTGTGAGGAAATGGTTCCAGAATGGGCTGTCAATTGAGACTGAAGTATGAGTGCCTCCTCAGATATCTTGTGTCTTGAGTAAATTGTGGCTGGAAGAGTTGCAGAGGTGATGCTTCTATGCTGAAGTGTGGGTGGATGTAATGGGAAGTGAACAACATAAGGTCCTTGGAAACTGAGCTCTGGATAGCATTATAGTGAAGTTGTTACTAATGTAATAAGGGTGTTGATGGCATGGAAACTAGAAGGCTATTTTACTAGTGCACCACCTGTTTTGTCAAATATGGTTCAAGTAGAGTGGTTCTCAAACTGTGGGTTGGGACCCCAAAGTGGGTCACGAGCGACCCTGTTTTAATGGGGTCGCCAGGGCTGGCATTACACATGCTGGGGCCCAGGGCTGAAGCCAAAGCCTGTGGCCCACTGCCAAGGGCCAAAACTGAATCCTGAGCCCTACCACCCAGGGCTGAAGCTAAAAGCCAAGGGCTTCAGCTCTGGGAGTCAGGGTTCAGGTCACAGGCCCCCCTGCCTGGGGCTGCAGCCCTTGGGCTTCGGCTTTTTCTCTTCCCCCCCTGCCCTCCGCCTTGGAGCGACTGGACTCAGGCGGGCTCAGGCTTCGGTTCCCCCTCCTGGGGTCGTGTAGTAAGTTTTGTTGTCAGAAGGAGGTCACGGAGCAATTAAATTTGAGAACCTCTGAAGGAGGGCAAACTACATGTTCAAACTGGTCCTGACAGAGTTATATAGAGGACGCTTTTTCTGCCTTTAGAAGTGACTTCCTATCACATCCTTTGACTGTCTTATGCTTCTATCACTGATTTTATTTTCTGCAAATGACATCATCTGTGGTGGTAGATGAAAAATAAACAAAAATAAATAGTTCCTAAACATTTTATAAAGCTAAATCTTTCTGAAAGTGTTTACTGTCTTGAGGACTTTTTCAATGGCAATTTCAGACTCAGCAGGTTTCAATCTGTGTGCAAAGATAATCTGCAAAGACTTCAGAGAGTGGCTTCTTGAAGATTGCATTGGAGAATATGGATATTGGATGGATTTGGTCTTTCTGGATGGGTCTCTTATTGGTTTCACAAAGTTATGTTCCTGTGTTTTATGTAGCATTTTAGCACTATCTGAACTGTTGTTTATTTGTATTGTGGTAGCACCTAGAGGCTGCAGCCCCAGTGCGCTAGGCACTGTACATACATAAAACAGATATGGTCTGTGCCCTGAAGTTTGCAGTCTAAGTGCATTAGATGCACATTTTGCCTGACAATGTACTAACTCAACCAAAGAAGTACAAGTGACTCAAGCATCATTTCAACATTTCATTAATTTTTTAAAATTTTATGTATGCTCAGTATCTCAGTGAAATCTCTCCTTAGCTGCCTGCTACCAACAGCTAACCCATTAAGAAGCTAATTCTCACAAATGCCTAATATAATGATAAAGGATAAATGGGAAAAGAAAAAGTTGGCCAGTTCCTCCTTATTTCCCTTTTCACAAGTCACTGAGTGTACTCTGGTTCATTGACCAAGTTAGTATGGTTTTGCAATTGCTCTGTCAAATGTCTCTGGTGGGCAGTCCACAAGAACACCTCCGTAGTAAGGGGTGGTGGTGACAGCAAATCTGAGAACAGTGCACCTTAGTACAGGAACTGCTCTACTGCATTAGCCCAGTGGCAAAAATGGCTGATCTAATCCGGTATCTTATCTCCAGTAGTTGCTCATTTTGGATGCTTCAGAGGAAGGTGTAAAACAACCATAGTTGTCAATTATGTGATAATATGACTATCATGGAAGTATCTTCCTAACCTCAAGCATTTAGTGATCTGTCTGCTTGCCTAGAAGCATCCACTTATACTTGTAAGTATAAGTGGACATCCATACATACACTTACACTTCAGCCAGTGTCATTGTTGAGGATATTCTTATTTATCACGTAGATGTTCAATCCTTCTGTTGAATCCTGCTAAACTGTTTGCCTCTGTCTTGGGGCAGTGAGTTCCATAGGCTAATTGTGTCTTGTGAAAAAAGGATTTATACAAATGAGCCCCTTTTCTCCTCTCTCACATGTGCACACACTCACTCCTAATCCCAATGCTTTAAAAACAGGAATATCAAGAACTTCAAATTCTCAGAGTTAGAATTCAGATGTATTCACATTTATGTTACCTATGCCTCTCTACTTTTTCAGAAAGATAGAACTAAAAGCCACTAACAAATCAGTTTGATAGGGCCACTTATGTGACCTGTTTAGTGATTCTGAATATTATTTGAGTGCTAACGCTATGTTCAGTGTGCTAGAAAACAGGAGCAGGATGCAGTCTTTGCTCAAGCAAGCTTACCATCTAAATTAGATAGAGATTGCTTGAGCATTCTTGTACGTACACTGCATACATACGTATATTAGGCAAATGGATGGGTTTCATGGGGTCAGTGAATTTTTTTTATTTAATGTAAGATTGTAATTTCTAACTGATGGGGTTTTTGTAGTGTGTATACCATGACTGCCTATTTGAGTTCCTCAGACCCAGTGTCACCATCATAAGAATCACCACCATGAGTGGCACTAATTGGTGCCTTTGGCACTCTGCAAAGCAGCCAAGGATTGAATGGGCATTGAGAGTTAATTACCCCTTTTTCACCTTGAGTGGTAGCCCATCTGGATCAGGGTTGGTGAGGAAGTTTGTTGTGCTGGACCTACGCTGTGGATGAAAAGAGGGTGTCAAATGTCTCCTTGTGTCAGTGTTAAATTCATCCCTAATATTAACAACTTTTTGAAAGAATTAAACATATGACTGAGTCTGGGAAATCTCTGACATCTTATCTGAATGGGAAAGTTGAATAGATGGTAGGTACCTTACACAGAGATTTGTGTTCAGGGTTCTGGAAATGGTCTCAAACGGAGGTCAGCAGCAGGCCATAAAAGCTGAGGGTGGAAAGGCACAGTTTGATGTATTAAACACAACCAGAGGCAGCTTCATGGGTGCTCCAATACAGTGCCTGTAAATCCTATTAGAGCACCTACTGCCCTGAGTCTGGCTGGTGAAAAGGAAAGG